ATTTCTAGATAAATCTTTTGAAGTCCTATCAACGATTTCTAATGCTTTTTTTGGTATCATGGAAGCTTCATCCCAAATAATTACTTCTATACTACGTAATTTTAGTTTATCTGGCTCAAACTGGAAGAATGCACTTTCTATAGTGCTTAAGTCTCAAAAAAGTCTAAAAGTTCTATGAGTGGTCATTCCTCTTGGAAGTAGAATAGAATCAATACCTGTCCAAGCTATTGTAATAATTTTTTTTCCAATGGATATGAAGTAATAAATTAATGTTTTTTATAGAAATGTTTTTCTAGATCCACCAGGACCATCGATGAAAAAAATTTTTTTTCAAATTTTATTATTTCTTGAAAAATTGAATGTTGATCATGACTAAATTGTAAAAAAATTTCATGGGGCTTATGTTTACAAAGTATTCTTTCATTGTTGTTAGTATCGACATTTTTTTTTTATCTTTTCTGTTTGTTCTGGTAAACTTAAATCTTTACAAGACATATTTTCAGAATGAAAAAATTTTGTTTCAATGTAAAAGAGCTTTACTTTTATCATCTTTACAATCTTCAATGAAAAATTTTTTGTATTTGTTCCAAATAATATTGCCAAAAAATTTCGTAGTTAAAAAGGCAGCATAACATTACATGCTTCTTCAAAAGTTATATTAGTTTGAAAATTGTGCTCTACTAATCCCATAAAAATAGCTGTTTCTTTATAAGTATTTAATTGATATCATTAACAGTTCTTAGAAAAATTGAAACTACAAGTAGGACTTGAAAAAAAGAAAAAATAATTGAACAAAGTACAATTTAATCTTTATAAATACATTCTAACCCTAAAACATTAAAGATACTTAATATATTGTAAAATTCTTCGACCCACAGACAGCATCTAAGCAACAATTAAAAAAAAACAAGGAGTGCTTGAATAATAAATTTTAGAAGTATCTATTGACTCATATAGGATAGACAGCTCATTTAAAAAAGGAGGCCACTATAAGGAATACTAAAGCTCACCAAAAAAAAAAGTTAAGGGCACATCTCTCTTTCTACATAAACTTTACCACTTTCATTTGGAATTAGCAGCCTGTTCTTCATATTTACTTAAAAGCAGCCCAGTATTCATTCCCCAGAACATCTATTCTCGAGTATTTTTAAAAATGCCGTAGTCCTCCGAATTCCGTCAAATCTTCTTTAAAATATATTTTTTCATACTAACAATTAATTTTGTCACTTTTGAAGGCTTTATAAAATATCAATGCAAAGCTTATTTCGAAAAAATTGGAGTTATAACGCAACTGGAAGGGGATTGGCACGCGTAGCACGCTGGCAGGCAAAGCCCCACTAGTATATCCATACATATANCTGATCTTGTAAAGATAAAAGTGTTCAATGAATTTTTGAAATTAGCGATTTCAATGATATGGCATTAAAGTACAAAGTGTTATGAAGAGCTATACCAAATTTTAGATAAAAAATTTCGAGTAGAACGGCTTCTAGAAGTGATTTTGTGAAAAGCCATCATACTATTGTATTATTCCACACTATAAATTCGAAAAATTGATCGTTTGTACTTTATAATATTGAAATTTGAATCAAAATCAAACTGAAGGCTTTTGAAATTTTAAAAAATGAACAATATAAAAGAAAGAATAAAATCTACAATGCAGTTTTTGTTGAGTCTAAGAAAATGCAGGATTTTCCATGAGCTCTTATGCTTAGTTCAGGTTAAAATAATAAATTATAATTAAAGTTACGAGAACTAAATCGTTCGTAATCACATCTCCTAGCTCTTAACATAAGATTCATTTACGTAATAATAGAATATTCATTAATATTAAGATAAAAATTAAAGCTATGACTAGATGCTGTGTGAAAAAAATTTTAATAATAACGTGAAAACTGAAAGACTGCATTAGTAATTATATTTGAACCATGTTTTTTTATGAGATTTTTGTCTTTAACCATGTTTCACAAGATATTTTGCCAAACTCTGGCTGAGACTTCTTTTCTTCTCTGATTTCAGGGATGAAAGCCCCACATGTCTTTCGGATAAAAACTTGTATTTTCTGCTAGTCTACAGCTCGGGAGGCATTTTTCAAACAGTTCACGATATAATACTTTTCTAGTAAACAGAGAATACTAGTTTTACCTAGAAGGTTATGTTGCTCTTTCGACCCCAAAATCGTGGAAAAAACTTCATATTTTGACAGAAGAGGGTGAAAAATCGTACACGATACAGACAAGAAAAGTACGGCATCGACTTCTGGATGTTCACCTTCTTTGCCTTTGGTTTAGGAGGCATTTATACAACTAAGGAAAAATGTTGTACTCTCGTCCCTTTTTGCATAACTTTCCCTTGTATAATATTTTAGATTTATTAGTGAAAAATGTTTCAAAAAATTTTTGTAAGTGCATGTATTAACAAGCTTTTATGAAATAACAATTTTAGTATTGATCATGTGACCTGTTCGCAACATTGTGATAGTATTGGCCAGGTGCAAGTGATGGGAGGGGATAGATGAGTCAACGCCAGCGTGCGTAGTGGTGAAAACAGGAAACCTGGGGTACGAAAGTACTGTCATTTTTGCTTAATAAAGGAAAAAATAACAGTATTTCATCAAATTTACAGATGTTATCATCACGTATGCATAAATAGTATCAGTATTATGAAATTGCCGTTACAGAAATGTAAAAAAATTAACTATGTGGTGCCAAGAACGGTTGTAAAATGTAACAATATATTAACGAAGCCTCGTTAGTATACGATCCAGAGCACACTCTTAGAAGCAGAGGGCAAAAAGAAGTATAAATACGCGAAATAAGACATGATCATTGTGATTTCTATTATTTAAACATTTATGAAATATGGGTGTAAGAAAGTGCTGTGTTGTTCAGTGTAACAGTAGCGCAAAGACAGATAGAATAAAATTATATAAATTTCGATGATTATCCAACTGTAAATGAAGGTAATTTTCATGTGCATTGCAACTTAGAAAATTTTCAAAATAATCTGAATAAAACGTACATACAGGTTAACTTTTTAGGGAGCTGAAGTGACCGAGATCTGCCTTATTACGACGGCACTTGTCAAATTGCTAACTCCATCACTTTGACATTCTGTAACATCGCACACATGACTACCTTCAACCAACTGTTTACCTTTTTTTAAGGCTTCAGAGTTAAAACAAATCGAGTGTGTGATGTTCCTAAAGCCTGTTTTTATGATAACATCCATTATCAGATGAATAAATGTACTAATTTTTTGCTAATTAATTGATTATTACAAAAGTGTGCATCGGTGAATGCTGTTGACGTATAATGTGGGTACCCGTGGTTGCACGATTTTGACACCAAGAGTGGCGCTGCATGACATGCACCTGGCCAATAATGACAAGCATCTCTATTATAAGTCAAATAAGAATTTATAATAATACCAACATCGTCAAGGTTATGTGTATACTAGTTACTGTATGTGTGATACTTTAGTATCGAAAAGTAAAGTATTACATAATATTTAATAATTATAATGCAGGTTTATAAAATCTTGTAAAAAAAAAGCTATAGAGGCTCCGTTCAATAGATAATTTCAAAACTTTTGATACGTATTTTTCTTTTTTTTTTCAACTAGAAAAAACTAATAAACATAAATAACATCAAAAATCGTGAATAGGGCTTATGAAATCATTAAGACATGCAATTTTTGTATCTTTATAACGTATTTTATTCCTACTCCTAAAAATTTAATGAATTGTATCCTTACAATTTTTTGTTTATGTGAGAAGAAAAATCTGAATAATTTTTTACAATCTACTAGATGGAAAAAATTAAGTTTTTTATTCAAAATCCCAGACATGAAAACGTAATTTCATTTAAGGCAGATGAGTCGCTCCCGTGGAAAGGGAGAGGAGCTCTTGTATGTACACAAGGTGCTATGATAAAATCTACTGTGATAACCTTGCCCAGAAACGTCTGCTCTCTCGATTATGGAAAATGCAATTGTGTTCAACTCACAAGTACTTATTAGTGCATTAACAATATGTTTTAAAAAATTTACAGAATATTCTTCAAGGTATCAAGTTTTTTATAGTATAAATCAAATAGCTTAAATACTTTTTTTGTGGGAGATAAAAATAAGAAGTAAACGGTGTAGTCAATCTGATCTTGTAAAGATAAAAGTGTTCAATGAATTTTTGAAATTAGCGATTTCAATGATATGGCATTAAAGTACAAAGTGTTATGAAGAGCTATACCAAATTTTAGATAAAAAATTTCGAGTAGAACGGCTTCTAGAAGTGATTTTGTGAAAAGCCATCATGCCACGTCAAAAGTTAAGCTGACGGCAGACAGTGTACTTTTGTGCGTTCTTGTTTCCCGCAGGAGTGTAGCATACGAGCTGGAAACAAATTTTTTTACTGATGTGCAAACACTTTCATAACTGCAGATGCAATTTTGTTGAAACTTTGCACATTATCAATGAAGCTGTCATAAATAACATATCAGTTTTTTAAAACATTTTCATCGCTATGTCAAGCGTAATAGGTATTTTTCCAAAACTTTTTTGGCAACTTAAATTTGATTCTATGTTAAACACGATGAAAAAGGGAAAATTTATGGATTTTTTCTCAAAATTTTTTAAAGCGATTTCGTTCAAATTTAGTGACCACATCTATCCAGTGTTTCTTTACAGGATATTTTTTTTTTGGAAACAATTTTATCGTTAATTTAATTGCGCCCCAACTCCTTAAATAACTGCAAGCGTTAGATTACCAAAACTTACATTTTTTAACAATAAATATAGATATTATTTTAGAGTTACACCATGACAATATTATCCACATTAATATCCTCAGTTACTTCTCAATCATATTGAAAAGTTGTAGCTAACCATTTATTCTACTACTATAATGCTATCGTATTTATTATAAAATATTAACAACAAAAAAACTATGTTTTCTTTTAACAATATTTAATATTACGTTTAACTTTCCTTTTATGTTGTTGTAGAGAGAAGATTTGTCTAATATTTTGAAAAACTTGTCGTATGAAAGCGTCCTTGGCGTAATAGGTGTTGTCGTATCAAGACCTAAGGATAAATGTAATTTGAAAATGAAAACGGGAAGTATTGAGGTTCTTACAGAGGCTGTAGACATTTTAAATTTAGCGACACAACAGTTACCATTTTCCATTAGAAATTATAGCAAAGCTAAGGAATCGCTTCAACTACAATACAGATATCTAGCACTTAGATTTCAAAAGCTGCAAAAAAATTTAAGGATTAGGTCATGGATGATTATGAAAATGAGGGACTATCTTAGTAATCGATGTGGCTTCATTGATGTTGTAACTCCAACCTTGTTTCGCAAAACGCCTGGAGTATGAGTTTTAACCATTGGAATTGCGTGCTATACAGATAAATTCATCACGTATTTATTTTATTTTTAACATTTTTTTTACAGGGTGCCCAAGAATTCGTGGTTCCAACCAAACACCCAGGCAAGTTTTATTCCCTTGTTCAAAGTCCACAGCAGTTCAAACAGTTACTAATGGTCGGTGGGATTGACAGATATTTTCAAGTTGCTCAATGTTTCAGGGATGAGGGCTCTAGAAGTGATAGGCAACCTGAATTCACTCAAGTAAATATTTCCTCAGATAAAGTCAATCTTAATGGAATGAGCACTAAATGTGTTAAATCTTCAAGTGTTTCAAAAGAAATATTTGCACCAGATATACATTGATTCTCATTCTCGAATACTATAATCCTTAAGCGAATTCAGTGGTTTGATGAACCATCCAATAGGTAACCTTCATCTTCATATTCGAAAACAAGAATGGATGTAGATTAGGTGTAAAATTCTACTTTGTATCAATTAAATTTTCTGTTTTATCAGAAAGTTTTTTTTACAATAATTTTTGAATACTTTCACTGTCAAAGATGATTATAATGGATGTAAATTTAATGCTTGATCCATTAAATTACGTTAATTTTTTCGATGCCGATGTTTTTAATTTTATTTGAATTACTTTAGCTTGATATTGAAATGTCTTTTGTAAGCCGTAAAGATGTTATGGAAATGATCGAAGAATTAATATTGTATAGTTGGCCGGAATTTTTAGAGTTACCGATAACTCCATTTCAACACTTAACTTATGAAGAAGCGATGGAGGCATATGGTACTGACTGTCCAGACTTAAGAATACCAGGGAAGGTAAGCAAGAATATTTTTGATTTAAATTTAATATTTCAAGGTAAATGGTAATTTCAGATTCACAAAGTTTCACCAACCAGACGTTATAGTGATGATAATTTTGATGAATCATTTGATATCTATGCTACAACACTTATTGCTAAACAAGTAATTTTCCTTTTTTTCCTTTATTATTATTTTAGCCTAGTTCATTTTAAAAAACATTGATCCAACAACTATAACATTTATTTTTGAAATTTTAAGTGAAAATATTTTTTAGCCTTTTTTAACTAAATCTATTAAAGAAACATTGAGTGCTTTTTCCAAAAAAACTTATCCAAAGGCTTCATTAATTCAATTAACAGTATCGGATACTAGATTATGTGAGCTAAGAACGTTGTTTTCTGAATGTACCAGAATTGGTATTGTTAAATCTCTAAATTTAAAGCAAGATGATATTTTATTATTAAGCTATGGTCCAAAATCAGATGCTGTGAGTATTAAAATCTTTCTTGATCCCATAAAGTTATAAAATTAAATTATTTTGTATAATGAAATACCAAAAGGCAGTCTAGATATTTATAGCTTCATACTTGATCAGTCAAGTCATCTTATGGTGCTTTGCCCTTAATAGGTGTCCCATGTAGCGGTAGTTTTATAAAAGCTACTCTATTGATAAAGCAGTTTGTATCTTTTGTATACAAAAAAGTTGGTAACATCATAAGAATAAGAACCGTAACGTAAGCTTGTTTATGTTTTTGCAAGTTAAATTTCTCATAGAAACAAACCTTCAAATTTCTTGATAACTAACAAAACGATTCCTGTCACTTTCAAAACGAAAAAATAAATTTTTTTGTTAGCAATCTTTAAAAAAGGGCAGCAAAATAAAAATAGTTTGTACAAGACACTAGGCGTTAGACAAGAATGCACATCTNATAGTAAATTGAAGTATTATACAAAAATTTATAATCTGTACGACCTGAACCGTCAATAAAAATAATTTTTTGTTTGTTCTCACATATTCAATCAAAAAAGTATTTTTTTTTTTATCATTTAATGAAATACACAACTTATTTAGTACATCAGTACCCAAAAAATCTCGCGATTATTTTCTTCTACATAATTATTTTGCTTTATAAAATAAAGTTGACGTGCGTACTAATTATTCCAAATATGGATCCCACGTGGATCTTACAAAATTATTTTAAATTCAAATAAAATTAAGTTTACATTCTGTACATTATTTTTTTAATATTAAAAGTCTCACTTTTTACCTTGATCAGTTTTGGTACATCTAGCTTTATTTGATACTGACTTTTTTTTTGCAATGTCGAAATACGCGTTCACTTTTAATAAAAATTGAAGTTTGTGAAATCGCACATTAAATTTTAGTACTTTATCTGTGTTTTATATACACACAAATATGTTCTATTAATATTTATTATTGCCTAAAGCTCAAACACGATTATTTTTATACAATATTGTGTATTTAGCCGTATGGTGGGTGCTAGCATAATGGTAACAGTAGGACAAAGCACTGAGTGAGAGGTTAGATTTTTGTAGAAGCTCAACTCCTACTCACGATCTGCAGGCAGACACACAACCCACAGAGCCATTATGTAGTGCTGCACACGCACACTCACACACACACATCTCGTATTGCGATCACTAACCTATACTGCTTTAACTTATTAAACAAATGTCTTTCGATTCAATATATGAAATATTTATTTATTCAACTTTAAAATTTTTCGTTTTAAATAGTCATATATGTTGTAAGCTTGTATAGTTTGCTAAAGTTCTTTACGCACCTTGATTGTTTATTTTTCAGTGTATTGACTCGGTTCAACAGCTTTTCTTGCACAAGATTTTCCTGTAGTTCAGTAACCGCGGCCTTGCTAGCTATGCTACCGAAATATGGTTTAATAAGTGTATTTAATGTGAGATATTCGAGATAAATGTGGTAGTGTTGTGACAATTCTGGATTCGTACTCTTTAATTATATTAATAGAACTAAAAAATATGGTGTTCTACAAAATCCTCCATACACGAAGCATGGGCTGTATGTATATATTTTTTGTGTGTTTGAAGACCCTCCAGGAGATAATTGGGAGGAAGCCAGGATGAGGTAGAAACGTTCTTGGTGTCAGTAATATGAGTGCTTTTACGCTAAATATTTCGGAAAGGTTTTCGGATAACCACGACAAGTGCAGTTATCTAGTGTTGGTAACGGTGACTCCGTTTTACGAGTAGTCTTTGCTCCAATTGTCGTCTTCTTGATGATTCATCAATAATTTTATTGATCATTTAGTAGTATCCTATTTTGTTTTTAAAGGCGTTGTTTTTATTGTTTTGTTGTTGTTTTTCATATAAATACTAAAAGCAAACAATAAATACAAGTGCTCCAAAATTAGAAATGAGTTTGTTATTTATTAAGGTTTGCTTATTTAAAAATAATATATAAGAAGTTGATTTTTTATTAAAATATACGAAGCTAGTATTATTTGTAATAATTCTATTTGTTTGGTATTGGCAGAGCCACAGGACAGCGAGATATAGGATTTGAGCCTATTACTCTCTATCGACCCTCCTGGGACTGTTGCTTATCGTTATTTCTTGCTCGCTTATCACCTTGGTTCTTCCCCACTTGGTATAGTGTTTCTCCATCTTCTAGAAAGTGAGAAATATTTGATTTTAATGTTACGTGAACGGTTTTTTTCGTTATATTATTGTAATTTTTGTTGTAAATGTAGTTTTATGAATACAAGAAAACGAGTCTAAAAACAGGAAAATAAATCACAAACATTGTGCTTAATCGTTAGAATGCTTATCATATATTTGGAGCAAAATAGAATTTTCCGTTACAATTTAACATTTAAAATTTTCATTTAGTTCGTTAACCTACAAAAATCAATATAACTATATCAAATTTTAATTAGTTTTTTTTACTATAAAGATAATATTCTGGTATCTGTAATCCATTTTAGTGGTAACTATGGTTTTTAAGCACGAAGTGACTTTCTATTTATAAAAAATAAAAGTAATATGAATAATGAATATGTAATACATATTTTTTTAATTTGAAGAATCGTCAGAAAAAATTTGATTTTCATACTTAATTACTATACATGAATCATTTTCTGACTCTAACTGTATGAAAACGTTATTTGCATTCTAGCATCTAGAGGAAAAAACAGAAAATTTGCCACGTAGGAATTTAGGTTTTTTTAAAGAAAATCAATAGTAAAGGTGTTGAAATTACTTGAAATAAATTTTGCGTGGAATAATTACTTCATAAACAATTTTTCACGATCATTGTTTTTGTTTAAATATTATATTGATTTAATTGTGTCACTTCTGATTTCGTTATATTAGATATTTTTACATAACAATTTTATTGCTTAGGAAATATGTATATTTATTACTGGTTGTTAAAATTAAACTCCTTAAATCTTACTCTACTTAATATTTTGAAATACAGTATCTGTTAAACATTTTCTGGGAATGACGAATAATTTAACATTTCTATATCCAATTTTTTTCGATTATCAAAAATTGTTCCTTACATTGAATATTTTAAATGGTGACCATACATCTGACAATTTTATTGTTTTTGATATTATTCTATTTTTGCTGCTTTTTTATTGAAATATTTTCGAAGGTTGGTTTGTTTTTTAAAAGGTTTATTATCGCGTAAATTCAAAATTATATCATTTCTATATATTTTTTTCTGGGATCATTGAAGCCTTATTCTACATAATTAAATAAACTTCCTGCAATTTTTTAAAATCAGATTATAGTTCCTAAAAATGACTTACAGCATTATATAATTTAATCGGTAATTTAAGAGTTTTTTTAATTATCATTTCCTGAAAGAGTAATATTAAGGCAATACCAGTTTATGCCATTGACGATTACTTTATTTGCTTGAAATGAAATAGTAAATTGAAGTATTATACAAAAATTTATAATCTGTACGACCTGAACCGTCAATAAAAATAATTTTTTGTTTGTTCTCACATATTCAATCAAAAAAGTATTTTTTTTTTTATCATTTAATGAAATACACAACTTATTTAGTACATCAGTACCCAAAAAATCTCGCGATTATTTAATAACTAAATAATTTAATCTTTTTGAGGGTGCTGTATTTAAGGGCTGTAATCAGATTTGGAAGACTTATGATTTTTTGGGAGTACTCGAGAAAATTCGTAAAAAATTGAGCGAATAACCTATATAACCCAACAATTGATTAATTACCAATCAACCAAACTATCTAGTTAGTTGTGGAAAGCTGTAGGTATCTAAAAAAAAGCTTATGCAAAATAACGAAAAATTCCAATGAATTCTATTTTATTTAGAAGAAAGGTTGTGGGGAGGGAGAGTCGTAGGTGGTAACAAAATATTTGCGTCAAGCCTGCAGGTAATACAAAGCATGTAGCAGGGTCAACCCATATTTAATTGGATTAAAATCACAGAAAAATAACACGAATTTTTCCTTATTTTGTGTGACAAGTGTGTAAAAGCTATAGAGGTATTGGGGGGAGGTGTGGACAGCCCTTAAATGGACTATGTAGCGAAGAAAGATATACATCCCTGTACTATAAATTTGTAAGAGCTAAATTAAATTAGCAACCTCTTCGCCTTCCCTTGATTCCTCGACGTTTGAAATAGCTTAGGAGCTCCCCTAAAAACTACGTAAAAATTTTCATATTTCTCCTTTATCGAATCTTTCTCTATAAATATATTTTTGGGATATCTATATCTGATAAAGCAGTTT